CGGATAATTCTTTTCTGGCGGTGCTGAAAAAGAATGTCGAATTCTCCCATCGACTCACACCCACCTCAGTAGGAGGCCCGCGCCTGCCCCCGTGCCGCCGGGTGCAACCCGTTTTATTCAGTTTTATATCTTTATTCTCTCTGACTCTGTGTCACACTGTGTTCTCTGTCATCTGTGAGGGTCCGCCCGCAGGCGCATTTTGTATACCGAGGCGGTGCCCGGTGCCGAACCTGTCTCTCTAGTAGCGACAGAGGTCAGAGCTGCGCGGGGAGTCGGCTGTCGCCTGTCGGGAGAGGCAGTCTGGCAGGCTGCTGCGCCCAGGTATGTTATGTGGCCCGCGGAGAGCGGAGCGCGGCTGTGCGGCGTGTCCCGCTGTGGGGGCTGGGGCGCCGCGGGGAGGCCGGAGCCAGGCCGGAGCGTCGGGGCCGTCGCGACAAACAGGTCAACACTCAGCTCTCAGCACTCAGGCGACACCGACGCGACCGGCGAGCGGGCAACACCGACCCGCAGCGCGGCCGCGAGGACCGCTCTCATCTCTTTCGCAGTGGCGAAATCGTCCCCCTGTTGTGAAGGATGTGTTGCTCGGCTTTTTCTATCCATCTTCCATGGAGAAAAAGCAGCCAGCGCGTCTGGGTCTGCGCCCTGCGCGCGCCACAGAGAGTGCACGTGTGCACGAGTATTTCATCCAAACAGGATGCCGAAGAGGAGAGGTGCGAAGAGGGCCGCCGCGCCGGCCGTGTACGCGACGTTGAAGAGCTTGGGGACGAGGCGCTGCGAGGGCGTCGCTCGGGCTGAGCGGCAGCGCAGCCGTCTCGCGCGGGGAGAGGCGAACCGCGAGTGTGGGAGGCGGCACCTGGACGGCGAGCAGCCCGAGATAGACGGGGCCAAAGCCAAGGATGGCGAGCGACGCGGGACCCTGCAGCTCGGTCACTCGCCAAGGGTCGACCGCCCGCTGCAGCCGCAGAAACTGTTCCTCCTTCTCGCCGTAAGATCCCTCGTCCCACCCGCCCTGCGCCTTGAGCGCGGCGCGCTTCGCAAGGACCCGCTCCATCAGCTCCTTGCGCAGCTCATCGCTGGGCATGCCGCTGTAGTCTGTCGCCAGCTCCAGCAGCGCGTTGATGCTGCTGAGCACCGTCGAGCCGTCGCTGGCAGCGAGGTCTGACTCGGCGGTGCGCAGGCTCTGCAGGAAGGCGGAGTCGGCGCGAGCGGCGCGCGGGGCGCCGAATGTCGAGAGCGCCGCCGCCGCAGGTGCGGCGAGCACGGCTCGCCGCCCGAGAGGGACGAGCGAGGCCGGGAGGAGTGCAAAGCTCGCGGCGAGCAGCATTTTGTAGAAAAAGAAATTCGCGTGCTTCGTTCCTTCGAGAAGGAAACTGCGATGCGAACTCTTTGGGTACAGGTTACGAGTGGGATCAGCCTCTACGACGAGAGCCCCTAGACGTCCCGCGCCTCCACCTCGCTTCAGGCATGAGAGAGCAGACGCTCCTTGCATTGCAGCAGTACGTCTCCCTCTCGTAGGCAAACAACTAAGCTGATCTGAGCCCTCGATCTCAGCTCCCTTCAGCTCTCGCGTCGCCCACTGCAGCTGCGTCACGAAGGCGGCGAGGGTAGCGGGCCTGTCTGTGGTGGAGTGGTCCCCGGTTTGCAACCATCTGGTTGACGGTTGAGACCCCCCTCAACCCTTTAGTTGAGGGTTGAGGCCTCCGGGGCCTATTCACAGGCTCGAGCGTGATCACAAGATAAACTGGAAGAGCCTGCCGCCCAAAAATCGCTTCGCCTGCGGCGCGCTCTTGCGCTCCTCGGACCATCCTCGAGCGCAATCCATAAGTAGGAGACGCTCACTGTCGCCATTCAGGCGCCTGATCTCTCTCAGCAAAGCGATGGCCTACCTGGTACGAGTTCAGATGCGCGCCCGGCAGAAGACGCGTGTGATGCCGCATGCAGTGGAATGCGCACAGAGAACGGACGGCAAGAGAAGGTAAGGAAGGAAGAGAAGCGGCTGGTGAAGCTCAGCTCACGGCGTAGTATTGCGTAAGCAACCGCGGTCACTCACCATCCACGGCAAGAGTCACGGTGAATGCTGCCGCATAAAGCAACAGAGTCGCGCTTGGCGCGATGGTCTTGTCGCGGTTCACGACTTGACGTTGCACACGGTCATAGACGCAGGATCTATTTGGCGAGTCTTAAGCAGCGAAAGTAGGCGCGAGAAATTAATGTCGATCCTGGGGTCAATTTTGGCGCTAAGATAGTTTCGTTTGCTGGTACAACTGTAACGCATCTCCATCGCTTCGGTGAAGGGGGTGAACCGTGCCATCCTCGATCGCCGTGCTAAGCTCGCTTCCGAGCTCTCACGCCGCGCGTAGGGCCCCTAGGGGCCTAGAGAACACAACCCCCTCTCTCTTTTCTCCCAGTAAGCTAAAAGTACGTACAACTGTACATCACGACGACTTGCTTGGGTCTCATGTAGCTCGACGGCACGCTGCCCGCCGCGGAGATGACAGCCCTCATGATCTCGGCGCTAAGCGGACAACCGAGCTGTCGTCATCTACCCGACAGGCAGCCGCGGGGTCGGAGAGCCCATCGTCTACACGGCGGACCAGTCTTCGTGCCGGGGGCACGCCACCTAGCCGCCTTCGACCACAGGGGGCTTTTGCGGCGGAGAGAGAGAGTTTTGGTTTTTAGCGGCGGTCAGTCACTGTCGGTCAGAACGCGGGCACAAAGTGGGCCGCGGACACCTCGTAAATGCGCGGCGGGCTGGCTGGCTTCAAGCCGCAGGCCCTGGCCAACACGGTGTGGGCGTATGCGACGGCGGGCGTGGCTGCGGACGCGCTGTACGCGGCGGTGGCGGAGGCGGCGGTGCGCGGCGGGCTGGCTGGCTTCAACCCTCAGAACCTGGCCAACACGGTGTGGGCGTATGCGACGGCGGGCGTGGCTGCGGACGCGCTGTACGCGGCGGTGGCGGAGGCGGCGGTGCGCGGCGGGCTGGCTGGCTTCAACCCTCAGGATTTTGCCAACACGGTGTGGGCGTATGCAACAGCCGACTATTATCACCAGGCGCTGCTTGCCGACTGCTCGCGCGTGATCAGCGACTCGCTCGCGCGGGATCCGTGGAGGTGGAGCGAGGAAGTCCGCTCTCAGCTGCACCAGTGGCAGCTCTGGCTCTCCCTGGAGCGAGGAGCAGACGGACAGCAGCACCTCCTCTCCGAGTGCCAGCGCAAGCTCTGCTGCGACGCCATGCAAGGCACCGAAGTTACGATTTCGCGCTTACAGCGCTCCGTCGCGGCTGCCCTCGCCGCCGTCCAGCACGGCTTCGAGGAGGAGCATCTCGAGCCGCGCACCGGCTACTCGCTCGACCTGGCGCTGCCCTCTTCACGCGTCGCTGTCGAGGTGGACGGCCCCTCTCACTTCCTGCTGCCCGACGGCCGGGGCGTGCGCAAACCCAATGGGCCAACGCTGCTCAAGCGGCGCCTCCTCAGGGCGGCTGGCTGGAGGGTGATCAGCGTTCCATTCTACGAGTGGGACGGCTTCGCGACAGCCAATGGGCAGCAAACCTACCTGGAGAGGGCGGTCGCCCCGCTGTTGGGCTAGTACTGTGCAGACTGACTGTTCTCAATTGGGGCGGCTCCCGTGGTGTACCTTTGTGCTCCTCGTGGGCCTGTGTGAGCTGTGTGAGTGGCGCGAGCTAGAAAAAAGAGAATTTTACGCACAAACACGCGCCTCCCCGCTCCCCCTTGGGCCTCCCCCCCCCCCCCCTCAGGAAAGTGGCCCCTCCGATATGTAGCGCTGTCCGCGCTTCGGACCCCTTCACTCGCGCCTAGACGGGTTTGGATGGTAGCGGGGGGCCCCGCCGGAGCGCAGCAAAACTGACCCCAGGGATTCCCGCTTCGGTTTCGTCGCCAAGCATAGGTTTCATTTTCATAGTCGGCCGTCCTAGGACGTACGTCATTTCGAGGCGCGATTTCGGTTCTCGCGTGTATCTCCGCGCAATGGGAGTTAGCGCGCTCGCTCTGCAGAGCGGCGCCTGCTAGCCGAGCGCGAATGCCTGGGTCGCTGAGCTCGCGCCGGTGGCCAACTGCGCCTCCGTGGCGACGCGCTCCGGCCACGAGCGACGTGCCAATCTGCACTTTGAGCTCGCTTGGCAGCCGCCGAGTGCGAGAGGAATTTAAACGGCCGAGCCGGCCAGGCAGCCAGCCGACTTCCCGCACCGGTCAGCGCACGTGCGGCCGCGCGTGTACAGGGCGACACGCGCGGCCGCACATGCTCCGCCTCGACGGCCGCCTCGCGCTCGCTCGAGGTCTGCTCCGCCCGAGCAGCGAGCTCTCAGGTGCGGGCTCTCGGGGCGCCGACCAGCGGTAGGGAGGAAGGTCGAGCGCGACGCCGCGGAGCCAGAGCAGCGCGGCCGGGGCTGGGACCGTGAGCGGCGATCGCGCTCCGAGTCGCCCAGCGACGGCAAGGCAGGACGACGAGGCGCGACGGCCGTTGAGCGGAGAGGGCTGGCGAGCAAAAAGAGGCGCCTCCGGGCGCAAACTTCAGAGGGACTCTTATGAGTTATGCTTCGCAACGAAACCAATTCGTGCTATGAGTTTTCACGATCAGTTTGGGTATACCCCCGAGCGGGAATCCCTAGGGTCAGTTTTGCTGCGGCTGGTTACTGATCATTTTACATGCCGTGCCCTCCACGCAGAGGTCCCCAGCACGAGCACCGGGCGCCAGCACGGTTTGGGGATACCCCACGTGAGAAAACAAATGAGCAGCTATAAAAATAGAGTGAAAATTCCTGGACATTTCCGATTTTGGAAGCCGTGTACACTCTCCGGAATCCGCGATACACGTACACGCCGGCCGTCGAGCGTCGCGCGCACGCACCATGCTGACGCGCGCGCGGTGGTGCCTCTCTCTCGGGTCACTGGTTGGCCGCCGGCGCGCGCGCCGCCTCGTAGCAGAGCACGGGCTTGCGGCAGAGGGCGCAGGTCGCCGCCTCGCCGCGCGCGATGCGAGGATGCTCAGAGCACGTCAATGGACACAACGCGCGCCTTGTGCTGGTTCTTGCCCGGCTTGGTCTTGGACTTGCGCGGCACGAGCTCGCCTTCGACGAAGACCTCGTTCATCGACATCGGGACGCGCATCTCCTGCGGTGTGTGGCGCTGGAACCAGCCTTGCGTCCAGTCGCCCGCGCCGGCCTGCTGCGACGGCCGCTCGCGCATCTCGACGCACTCCTCCGCGCCCGTGTCGACGTGCCGCAGCACGAGCGTCGCGCGCAGCTCGTTGAGCTGGTGCGGCCGCGCGAGTGCGATGTCACGGAGGCGCGCAAACTCGGCCGAGAGCGTCGCATGGCGCGCCTCGAGCAGCTCGAGCCAGTCGCACGCGTGCTCGAACCGGAGGTGCCAGTCGTCCGGCGGGTAGCAGCCGTCCTGTGCGAGCAGCAGCGCCGTGCCGTCCTCGCCCTCGAGCGCCTCCGCCTGGTACGCGGGCGCAAAGCGCTGCTGCACGCACTCGCACTCGGCGCGCCAGCGCTCGTGCAGCTGGAGCAGGCGCACGAGCTCCTTGCCGCGCGCGTCCTGCGCCGCGATGCGCCGCCAGAGGCGCTGCGCCGCTGCGGCGGCCGCCGCCGTGCACTGCTCCTCGCTCGGCTCCCACTCGCGCGCGTCCTCGTGCGAGGGCAGCGGCGCGAGCGACGGCTGGTCGAGCAGCTTGAGGGCGCAGAGCTGGTTGTAAATCTCGACCTTGAGCGCGTCAGCCTCGGGCAGCTCGGGGAAGCCCATCGCGTTCAGCTGGTGCAGCCACGCCGGCGCCAGCGCGGCGGCGGCGCGGAGCATGTACGAGACGATCTCCTCGAGCGTGCCGCGCCAGTACTTGATGTGCGACGGGCCGAGCTCGCCGTCGTCGGCCTCGGGCGTGTAGTAGTCGTCGGAGCCGTCGGCGAGGCGCGCGGCGACGAGGCGCGGCGAGGCGGCGAAGCCGACGATGGTCTGCACGTGGACGCCGTCGTTGCCGAGGAGCGTGAGGAGCAGCTCAAGGTTGAGCTCCGCCATCTGCGGAATGTGGGACGAGCAGTTCTTGCCGTCGTCGTTGATGTCGTCGTTGATGTTGACGCGGCAGCAGGTGTCGCCCGTGTCGAGGAGGTTGAAGAGCTGGTATGTCTGCTCGAAGGTGAGGCTGCGCTTGGCGAGCCCCCCCTCGAACGAGGGCACGAGCTTGATGAGCGCGAGCTTGGACGCGCCGAGCACGGCCGACGCGCCCGCGCACGAGTCGTTGGCCTGGCGGCCGGGCGGGCCCGCGAGCGCCTCGTGCGAGATGCCGATGCGGAAGAGGCGGCACAGCGCGAGGAAGAGCATGATGTCGGACTCGCCGGCGTCGCACGCGGCGAGCAGCGGCCGCATCGAGAAGTTGGCCTCGCTGAAGCACGAGCTCTCGTAGTGCATCGTGTCGAAGAAGAGGGTGCTGTCGCGCACGAACTCGCGGAGGCCGATGCCGTGCTTCTGCGCGCGCGCACGCAAGGAAGCGGCGCCTCGTCGGCGCGGCGGCGCGGGGAAGCGGGCAAGCGGGCGCGCGGGTCGGCGCGGCAGGAAGGGCGTGTCGCACCTTGACCTCGGCAATGAGGAGGCACATGTTGGGCACGTGCTTGTCGAGCATGTTCTCGGCGGAGAGCTGGGCGTTGTCGCCGAAGAGCTTGAGCACCGAGCCCTCGTCGCCGGCGAGCTCCCCGGCCGCCATCTTCTTGAGCTCCAACATCATCGGCTTGGTGGGGCGTGGCGGTGCCGGCTTGTAGGAGGAGAGCACCTGCGACGTGTGGGAGGCACAGCACGTCAGCACGGCGAGGGCGCGCGCGCGAGCCGCGACGCGGGGTCACGAGGCGCGCCGCGGGCGCGCACCGTCGTCAGCACCGATGCCTCGCCCCCAGCGCCCAGGGCACCAGTGCCTTGCTCCAGGAAGTCATCGCCGACGTCGAAGTCCTCCTCATCCTCCTGTGGGGCGCAGCGCCACGGTGAGCGCGGGCGTGGCGCGGCTGCGTCGGCACGGCGCGCACCGAGCCGAGGGTGAAGGACCAAGGCATCTTGACGGTGCGCGCGCGCTTGGGCATCGTGGCCGCACGAAGGAGCACGGCGCGAGTGGGCGAGCCGTCCGGTGTCGGGGGGCTTCGTTGGGCTTCTCCGGGCTTGTTTTGCTCACGTAAACGCGCAACACGGGGTCCCAGGGAAGGCGAGCAAAAACCTTATCGCGCGCGCTAGTTTTGCTCACGGCTTGAGCACTTGAGCACTGGATAGGGTCGATTCCGCATGGTACGGGACCCCTCGATCGTCTCGCCCTCCCTCACTGGTGTGTTCATCGGGGGGGGGTCATAACAAACACGGTACAGGATCGAGGTGCACGCTGCCGAAGCAGTGTCGTCCCCCCTCTCCCCGACGGCGATGGCGGTGTGACCGATCGAGCTACAAGAGGAGCTTGTTCAGAGAGAGAGAGATTTTTAGCAATACCAAACAACTCTAACACTCACACGTAATTTGGGGCCTGGGGCCCTGTTCACGCGCGCGCGAGACGTGCAGACAGGGTTGCCAGGTGAGAGCGAATGGCGCGGTTCACGCCTCGCACAACAGAGAGAGAGATGCGCTCTGCATGGTGGGACATAAAAGAGAGCGAGTACTTGGGCGAGTAGGCCGTGCGGTCAACGCTGCCGCGCGCGACTTTGCGCGCGAGGCGGCGCAGCTTGAGAACGGCGGTGGGCGAGAAGCCGCCGCCGAACGTCTCGTGGAGCAACAGGTTGAAGTTGTTGCGCTTGACAAAGATCGCGTCGTGGTAGAAACCGCGATGCGCCTTGACGTAGCCGTGGCCGGTCTTGTGGGAGAAGGGTTGGCTGGGCTGCCCGCGCGCTTGTTTGCTTGTTCAGCAGGATCCGGGATAGTCAGGCGCACTACCTCACTGGGCCTGAGATCACCACACGACAGCATCCCGTCACCGTCTCGGATTTATGTGGAGTCGAACCACTCCGGGATGGGCAAGCACATCGATTGTCATTTTGTTCCTCACCTGGGCCCGCGGGGGGTTGCGGGATGAGTGGAGCTGGGACGGAGAGAGGGAAGAGGAAGGGGAGGGCGGGAGGGGGGGGGGGGGGATTACAGTCGGAGGCTTGCGCCGACGCTCAGTACGTGATTGCCGCTCTGCTGGAAGATCGGGGTAGGCGGAAGCCGAAGGTTTGCTACGGTGGTGGTGGTAGGTGGTGGTGGTGGGGGTGAGTTGACTTCGCCGCAGAGGCCGTCTCTAGCTGTGAACAGGGCTCGCACCTCAACCTCTCACAGGCCAGCGCGCACAGCGCGAGGGAAGTATTTTCTTCCCAAAATTCTTCTCAATAACAAGGCTGTATCTGAGGCTTTGGCGAGCCGTGTGCTCGTTTGTGGCAATGTCCGACACGCAGCTGGAGGTGTGCGGCGGCCTCGAGCGCGCGCTTCGCTTCCGTGGTCCCTTCGACAAGTATCGGCGGCGCGCGTGCATCAAAGCTGGCGCGGACCTTCCGCCGGCCATGCGCGTGCCGACGGAGCTCAGTCTGTGGTGGCACATCAAGGAGACGTTCGACGTCCTCGAGCACCTTACAGCGGCACTTGCGTATCAACAGGAGCACGCCGATCGCATGCACGCGGCAGCAGAGCATGTCATCCGCCAGCTCGTGAAGCGTTACCCGAAACCCAAGCAGCAGCGTATGATCAAGCGTGTGGCCAAAGCCGTCTTCATCGGTGGAAACCCAGAGGATTTTTATGGCCTCGAGCGAGTGGCGGATCGGTGCACACGGATGGACTACGACGACTGCTGCGCGAGGTGCGCACGCCGCGCGCGCCGTACCGCAATGGCCCGCCTGAGCAGCGTCGGCCCGCCCGCTCGCAGGGATCACTACACGTGGACGCACCACGGCCAGCTATTCCTTCCCTACATCGTCCACAAGTTGCTATGCCACCTCCGGCGCAAGGAGGTGCTGCCGCCCGCCGCGCCGACCAGCAAGTGCAGCGTGTGTCAGTTCCGCGCAGCGCGCCGGGCGGCGGAGGGCGGCGCGCCGGTGCGATGGCGGCAAGCCGAGCCGTGCAGGTTCGCTCGCATGTGGTGCCCGTATGCATGCGTTTGTGTGCTGAGCGAGCGTGCGCTCGCGTCGCAGGCACTGGAGCTGCGACGAGTGCACCGAGAAGCGCATCGCGCGCGGCGAGGCGGCGACCTGCGCCCTCTGCCGCAAGCCCGTGCTCTGCTACGAGGCGGCGCGCGCGCCGGCGGCCAACCAGTGACCCGAGAGAGAGGCACCACCGCGCGCGCGTCAGCATGGTGCGTGCGCGCGACGCTCGACGGCCGGCGTGTACGTGTATCGCGGATTCCGTAGAATGTACACGGCTTCCAAAATCGGAAATGTCCAGGAATTTTCACTATTTTTCTAGCTGCTCATTTCTGCTGTCTGTAAGGTGAATTCAGAAATCGGACACCTCGAGACACTTGCCGTACTTTTTCAGGCGAGCATTCGAATTAGGATTGTTGCCGTAGGCGGCTTGCGAGCCGAACCCGCAACCAGCCGTAGTTACGTCCGAAGTCAGCTCGTCGAACAACGACGAATTAGCGACATCGAGCACGTCCTGCATACTGTCCTGATCTGGTGAACACAGCATCTTGAGGTTTGACACCCCCCATTGATCGCGCCGTACATATATCGCCTCGGCCGATACGTATCGCTGGAGGGTGCTATGCAGCGCCCCGTGATCTCACCACACGTCTCACGACTCGACCTCGAGGGTCGTGGCGTCCACTTCATAGTGCTCGCCACCCGCGCACTCGTCAAGCTCGTAAATGTCGTGCATCAGCTCGTACCAGTAGCTAGTGCAGGCGGAAGCACCAGCCGCCTCAGCCGCCTCCATAACATCCCCTGGGACATCCGTCACGTCGATCGATTTCTTTATCGCGATAACCCGGCCGGCGTAGGAGATGTCTACCTCGTGATGGGTGGTCCATTCCTTTCCATCGTGGGTCTCGGCGCACGCGAACATGATGCCGAAGGTTTGCCACAAGGATGACTCCTCCGTGTGTGCGACGGTGCAACCCGAGGCTTCGAGAGCAAGAGCCTCGAGCGCCGCGGCGATGATGGACGCGCTGGGCCCGGGTGCAGGCGAGAAGGCCGCCACAAGTCCGAGGCAGAACGCAGACATCGACCACCTGCGCGCCGACGGGGGGGGGCAACTCGCAGCGCGCCGCTTTTCGAGAAACAACCCCGGAGCGCGGAGCTAACCCTCGGAGACCCGTGTTTGCTTTAAGGCCCTTGCCCTGCGAACGCGCACCCCCGGGGCTAGGGCTCTCTTGCCCGTAACCCGATACCGATCATCCGGCCCGCTGGATGCGCTTCTCAGCTCACCGGCCCTGGATGTGAGGTTACCGACTGCACTCCAAGTGCTCCAAGTGCCCCAGCTTCCCTTTGAGGGCTGACAAGCTGCCGAGCCCAAATCACTGTGAGTGTGTGTGTGTGTGTGTGTGTCACACACACTCACACATCACTGTGAGCCTCGTGATTTTCTTGTTGGTTTTCAAAAATCTTATGCTGAGGGGTTCGTAGTCTCGCCGCGCTTACGGTCAACCGGGCGAGGTCGTCGGCCCGCGAGAGAACGCAACCGATCTTCAAAACTTGACATGTCAATTAACCCTTTCGCGCCATAGCGCTCCTGAAGAGCAAATCTCGATATATCTCCAGTCGTAGCGGTGGAACTTTAAAACGGCTCGGTAAATATTTAACCCTATATGAGAGGATCACGGCACAGTGATCAGTGTCGTTTGAGTCGACAGTAAATCTCCCACAGCCCACGTAAATCCGTCTTTTTCAGGCACCCGGAGCCCTCCGCGGCCGCTTCTACGCCGGCGAAGCACCATCAAGCTGCTGTACGGCCCCGGCATCGCCTACCC